ATAAACAGGTAATTTCTTTCAACATGGGTGCTTTTCTGCAGTTTAGCCATCAATTCAGGAATAACTATTTCCAACAGGATTTTAATCCTCACAGAGTTTATAAGGAAACATCAGTGGCCGCAGTCTTTACAGTCCCCCTCTGCGCTGCTGTGGAGGAAATCTGTGAAGAGCACTGTAAGGAGCATTTTTCTTCAGAGCAAGGACAGAGGCTGAAAAGGGCAGGCTGAACCACCCTCCTGAACACTGATCTGAACACACAGGCACATGTCCTAGGGTCAGGGTACTGCCTTGGGGGACTTGTACTCTTGTTGTAGGTGCAGAATTACATGATGAGGTCCTCGGGCCCACAGCTGCACACAGCAGGGACTCTGTCTACCAATTCCCTCCAAAAACAGAATATTTTCCATCATCCTGTTCAAAGCACAGGCCTAGTGCCATGCCCTTCACTATTGCCACACCACTGTACCCACCAGGGAATTTGCATCTTGCTCCCCAGAAAGGAATTGCCCATGCAAGCCTGATCTAAAAGCTCCCCAGTCACCACGCCTTGAGTGATCAAGACTCTGCAGTCCAGGTTCTCAACATGAGGCTTCCTGCTCAGCTCCTGGGGCTGCTGATGCTCTGCCTGCCTGGTAAGGACACGGGGAGTTCAGTTGTGAGAGGTGGGCTCTGCACACCCTCTGCTACCCAGATGTGCTCAGAACACAGTGGGATGGGCTGCCTGTTTTGCAGCACATACTAGAGAGGGCTGGGTCTGTGGAATGAGGAGGATTCCAGAGGACCTGTATCCTCAAATAATGATTTTACACAAAAAAGAGATGGTTTTACACAAAAAAGAGATGGTTCAGGTGAACTCTTGGGTTCGCTTGTGGCTGCGAGTTTAGGGGCCCATTTTTAAAACTGAATGTTTTTGCACAAAAAATCAAAATGACAAAAATAATTCAGACTGATATATATGAAAGTGATCTCACCCTTCTCCTTCATCATTTTAGATTCATGGGAGACACTGTGTTGACCCAGATCCCACTCTGTCCATCACCCCAGGAAGGCCAGCCTCCATCTACTACAGGTCCAGTCAGAGCCTCTTTCATAGTAATGGAAACACCTATCTGAGTTGGATGGTGCATAAAGCAGGTCAGGCTCCACAAGGCATTATTTATAGGGTTTTCAATCTGCAATCTTGGGCTCCAGAGATATTCAGTGGCAGTGGGTCAGGGATAGATTTCACACTCAAAATGAACATGATGGAGGCTAAGGATGCTGGAGTTTATTACTGTGTGCAACATACACATACTCGCGGCCCCGAACACCAACCTCCCTGTCTGGGGAAGCCCAGCTGCCCTCTGCAATGCTGTCTGGGGAGCAGCACAGCACAGCCTGCTCTGTGTGAGAGGAAGAGGTGGAAGAACTCAGAACAGCAAGTTGCAGCTGAGGCCTCTGGCAGAGAATAAGAGTGAGGAAGACAACAAAGGAACAAAGACCTGTGTCAAGGAAGAGAGAGAAGAAAACTATGCACTCAATGGTCTTCTTCCTGCAGGCCCTTGACCCACCAGACGCTGCAGATGGTGACTGTATTTTAAAGGCAAAACAAATGACTCTGTCGTCTATCTGGATGTGATGTGTCAGAAAAAGATAAAATTGAGGACAACTGCTCCACTTGTTTGTATCTGAGCAACTGGAGAATGTGAAACCATATGTTGTGAGACCAGGAGAGTTGAAGGGAAGAAGCAATGAGTGATGGGGGACTGAGGAGTTGGAAAAGAACAGGTTAGGAAGTCACCAGCCTCCAGCTAATGATGTCCTAAAGCAGAGGCACAGGAGGGATTCTGGAGATCAGAGATCTTCACTGAGCTATGAGGCACAATTCCAAAGGACAAGGTGAGTGTAAACAGATGAAAGCAGACTGGGAACCTGAAGGTAACACAGTGTGCAAAGCAAACAGATGAAGACAAATCTACAGTGGAGGCCAAGAAGGACTGGATACTAAGATTTAAAAAAAAGTAAAAGGAACTGCGAGAGATTCATGCCCCAGAGCCAAAAAAAAAAAAAAAAAAAAAAAAAAACATTAGCAGGGACAATGGCACCTGGCAGAGTAGTAATGCTTCATGATGCCCTGAGAATGAGAAGTATTCAGCAATCTAGGAGTCACAAAGCAGACCCAGGGCTGGGGATTCAGCTCAGTGCCTTAAGAGCCTGCCTGCAAGCATGAAGACCTGAGTTTGATCCGTGGTACCAAAAAAAAAAAAGCAGACACAGAGAACAGGCACAGGGAGAAAAGGAGGCCCAGCCAGATGCAGGGTTAGACAATAGAAAGCAGAAAGGGCGTATCACACTTGATCAGCTTGCAAACATGAGAAAAATTGTAAAGCCAGGGCTGCAGGGACAGCTCAGTGGCAGAGTGCTTCACTAGGATGTGGAGGTGCTGGGGTCAGTCTTAAACATGCACAATAAAACAGGGAGAAGAAAGCTCCCATCTTGATCCATCACCAGACCAGTCTCCTCTGAATCTGTGGACATGGATCGGCACGTGAGGAGTGTTCAGGATTCTGCACAAGATTCCAAACTCAGCAGCCAAAGATGGCAGCCAAGTTTGGGGCCTGCGGACCATGGCATTAAGTCAGGACAAACAAATCCCCAATTTAAGCACAACATTTATTTGATGCATATTGTACTTGGTTTTATGGGGGAAAGAGTTTATGTTATCAATATTTTCTGTTTCACACAAAACATGGATCATTCCTACATTCAAATGAAAAATCATATGATGGAAAAAATTCCCCGACTTACACAGGAAGGCTAAGGTGAAGAACTGAGGATCTGATCCTGGGTCTGCACTGATCTCCAAGCCTCCTCCACAGGGAAGAAAACCTCCGGCCAGAGAAGGATTCCATCCAGCCTTAACAGGATGGTGAAATTTTCTGGTTGCAAGTGAAGACCTCAGCCCTCGAGTTACTCTACTTGGCTTCCAGACAGCATCAGGACCTTCAGCGGCAAACAACTAAGGTGAGGCAGCAACCAGGGTGACATCCTCAAGGCCAACTGCTAGGAGGCCACCTCATGTGACCACTGGGTACATTGTGCACCTGAGCCTAAGGCCAGAATCCAGCATCTCCATTTAATACTGTGTATGCAGTGTCACCACCTGTACAAGAAGGGATCACACAAATCCTCTGAATTTTCAATGAAACTGAAACTGAAAATATTACCCAATTTGGTACTTAACAGCTACCAACAAATTCCCCAACAGAAAAAAAGTTAGCCAGAGAGAATAACAGGAATTTTCCCATGGTAAGAACTGTGGAATTTAACATATTATTTTTTTCATATGGGCTTCCATAAAACTCAGTGCTACCGCAGAGCCAAATAACAGAACATCTTCCTTTTAAGGACAGGATGATAAGAATAAATTTTACTTTTATGAAAAGTCACATTTCCAAAATTTGTTTCTATTGATTTTGACACATGTGTAACTGTATGTCCAAAAACATCTTCTGGCTCCAAGGCAGGACCAGCACCCATTGGCTTTCCAAGATGCACTCTGTTCACGCACCACAAACTCACCTGAGACTGCTGCCTGCAACCTGCATAAATGCTCTAGATGTCTCAGATGCTCATAAGGAGCTTTCCTTCAGTGTGGATGCCACAAACTATTTATTTTTTAAATTGCTGTTTTGTAGAGACAATGTGTTTTTTTTAAATTTTGTAGAATGTACATCAGTTATTCCTGCTTACATAACTCCATAGATAGTTCAGTTGGAGGTGAGGATCTCATCTTGGTGCATCCCGTTGTATCTTTACACCACATTGAAACCATCATTATGGGCTCTACATGGTGCCAATCAACATGTCTGTTCTCTTGGTACAAACTAAGCAAGCAAAGAAAGACCCCTTCATAGAAAAACAACTTTGAAATTCACTATCTTTGCTGTCTAAGAACAGTCAATGCTGATTTCCAATTGAAAATGGATGCATAATGCAATCAATTAGCTCATTATTACCATATGAGAACAATGGTTTCCTCTTCCAAAATGGAATATTTTTAATTAACTGAGATTTAAAGACAGCAACCAGAATCTCTGTAACACACAGTAACACCTTTCTTTCCTGTGGACTGAGGTTTCTCAGCGCTGACATCTGGACAGCACACGGGGAGGCTGCACACATAGGTGACCTGGCAAGGGGTCAAGATGTGAAATGCTGGGAACTGGGAAGATGAGGGACCCAGGCTCAGAGACATATCTAGGAGATGAAGGACAGATTTCCTCCTGGATCTTCCAGAGTGAGGACATACTGACAGCATCCTGGCTCTGTCACACTAAGCACTGAGGTGGACTTATGACCTCAAGAACTGTAACATAATGACTTTTACATGTTCAAGACATAATTTAATGTGAAATCTTACTGTAGAAATAGAAAAGTAATGTGGGTGCCCTGAGTTTTCCTGTGAGATTCTTCCATAATAAAGGGTGTAAGGGACACCATTCCTTTTAATTTTCTGCTGAATGCTGCCATCTTATCAGGAAGAATGGGACATAGTCTTTAGGCAGATGGAGAGAGGAAACTCCCATGTCACATCACCAGCAAGAAACAGGACAGAGACTAAAATGAGTTTCTGCTCCAGGATGAATCACAAGGGGAGAATGACTACAACACTGCTGACAGTCATTATGTGATGTCTTCAGCTTACAAGCTGCTGATAGTAACAGTGAAATCTCTTCCAGGCTCATGGCCACTAAACTGCTGAGAGACCCAGGACTCTCAGGTGTCTGTGCAGTGACTGAGCAGTTTCTGATGGAACCAGGATGAGTAACTGACCTGCTTGACCCTAGCCTGGGCAACACAGTGAACTCAAGACCAGTCTGAACTACAAAGTGAGAACCTGCCTCAAAAGCCCAAATGTAGAAAATATTTCAAAGGAATTACTCCTACAAGAACAATATTAATTAATATAGCACTTTAGAATGCACATATGTGCACTCATATATAGCTATCTATATACATTTATATATATATATATATATTCATTTATTCATATACAATAGATACACATTAACATGTATACACTCATAATCAGAGATACATTTCTATACAAACATATGTTCATAGTATACCCATTTACATGTTAATATATCTTCATACTCATGTTAACATCTCTCTATGGAGATAAGTAGGACAGGATATTCATCAATTAAACTAATGCTGGGAATTGCATATCGATTACCTAAGACACAATCATTGTCACCTTCTCCACTTGACCTCAACAGGACACCTGGTACTCTAGCTCAAACAGACATTTGGGGTTTTTGGGGGGGTTTTTTGTTTGTTTTTTTAATGTTCCTGGCAAATTTTGTTGACAGCAGTAGCCCATGTTGTATAACCACTGGGCCCTTGAAGACTAAGTTCACCTGGAAACCACATTTGCCAGAAGCCCTCTCCAGGCTCCATGCTGTCACTAGCACAGAGCTGTTCTGCTGAGCTGTAAATAGAGATGGCAGTGTTTTCCTTACTGGAGAAGAGCACTGTGTACCATGTTCCAACAGGGACCTCTGCCTTTCACAATGGGATCCTTCTTCCTAGTGCCGGACACCACATGGATATTTTCTCTTTTGCTTTCCCCCAAATACCAAGATATGAAACAACTTTGCTCAAGAGAGAGGCCTCCCTTCCTGCCGCTCACTATGCCCATCAGGGTGTTTCCTTGGTGTCCCCAGGGAGGCCCTTCCCAGCAAGTCTCAGATAAAAGCTCAACTTGCCTTGACTCATCTGGACATTGGCTTCTGCATTTCAAAATGAGGCTTCCTGCTCCGTGTCTGGGGCTGCTAATGCTCTGCATCCCTGGTAAGGATGGAGGGAGATGAGGATGGTGAGCAAGTGAATGGGATGGGATCCCACTGTTTCCTGTGTTGTTCTCTCCATGCCAGAGACTGCAGCCTTCTTTGACAGGATGAGAACAAGAGCTTGAGGTCTGTGTGAGTGAGGAAGATTCCACTGGAGCTGGGAGCTATGGTGAGGTGGTGATGTCACAAAGAAAGAGAAGGATGATGCACGTTAATTCTCAAGGACGTACAAATGTTGGATACTGTATTATAAGTGAAAACTTTTTCCTATATATGAAAACTGCAAAAATAATTTACCTTTAAATATGAAGTAATGGAGAAAATATGAAAATGAATCATGATGCCTGTACACGACCGCATCTTTCTCTCTAATGATTTAGGGTCCACAGGAGATATTCAGATGAGTCAGACCCCACTCTCTCTGTCCATCACACCTGCAGAACCAGCCTCCATCTCCTGAAGGTCCAAACAGAGCCTCCTGCATAGTGATGGAAAAACCTATTTGAGATAATGGTACACAAGTCATACAAGACTTCACAGGGCATGATTTTAAAATGTTCCAAAAAGCACTCTGGAGTCCCAGAAAGCTGAAGTGGCAGCAGATCAAGAACAGATTGCACAATCAAAATCAGCAGGTTTCAGGCTGAAGAGGCTGGAGTTTATTACTGTTAGCAAGTTATAGGTCCTCCCACAGTGATGCAGCCGTGAGCAAAATCCTCCTGCCTAGGAGGCCTAGCCGGTCTCCTGTCCTGTTGTGCACACTGCAAGAGTTTCTTAGTACACCAGGGTGCAGAAACGGCCTCTGCCCAAGACTAAGTAGATAAACAAAAGAGCATGAGGATCTGTGTTCTGTGTAGACTGACACATAGAGAAATAGGATGTGGCTGACTTCCACAGGTTCCTTGAGCACTGCAAATTCTATTCTTTTTTTAAATTTGGGTGTAAACCAGAGATGGTTAATGAGATGCAATCAGTGCATAGCATTTGTATTCAATCTGCCTTTTATCTCTTATTATGTAAGTTTCACTAGAGGATGAAGTGGTGGGCACAAATCCCTCAGCCTGGTTTACAGGATGGGAGATCCAACCTACACCTCAGGAAGTACCACCAAGGTAAAGAGGTCACTTCTGGACTTTAAAAGAGATCACTTCTGGATCTGTCACTTGGGACAGAGCCAATTGCAATACAGAGAAAGGGTACACTGTGGAGGGCTAACACCATGATTAGTAATGATACAGGCCAAGTATGCGCTAGGTTCTATCATATATTCCACGTCAATCCAGTAGGCACAGCTGAGCACCCAATTTATGAATCTGATCTCATCAGAATCCAGGAGTGACTTGCAAACAGAACCCTAATTTTTCACCCCTAATTTTTCACAGGAATGCCACAGAACCCACTAATATAACAAGATGCAAAGGGGCAAGAGAATTCTCGGGAAACTTGTCCCACTGGTCCATAGAAGTTAGGCAGGGAATTGATGGATGTGTTAAGCCTTGTCTTTCCATGAGTACTCAACAAGACATAGAAATACACTAAATGTCAATTAAATTGAACAAATGTATCAATTATAAAAATAGGAGAAGGGTAAAATTATAGAGTGAACTAGAAACAGAAATTAATAAAGATGAATTTGATAATATAATTAGCTTAAAAGGGGACTGAGAAAATGATAAAATAAACAGCATAATAAAAAATATTCAAATAAGTCATGTAAGTAAATAAAGTTGGTAAAGGAAAACACAAAAAATAAGCAGAATAAGTGAAACAAACTCTAGAATGCTCTTCCTGAGAAAGTTAGATGACAGAAGTATTTTTCTGGATTTTCTAATATTAAATTAGTACTTACGTGGTGAGAGTGGTAAATTCCAGCTCAGGGCAGGTGTACTTCCCTCCCCAAAAGCTGATTCTGCTGACAGGTGAGCTCTGCTGTGTCTTAGACCCTGGGCAGGGTCAGGAAAGGATGTGCATATCTGTGTGTGTGTGTGTGTGTGTGTGTGTGTGTGTGTGTGTGTGTGTGTGTCTGTGTGTGTGCGTCCATTTGTGTGTCTACGTACATGTGCAGGTGTGCATGGAGCTGCTGCCCCTGCACCTACCTTTGCAGCCTGCTGGCCAGATAAGTGCACACTTGGGGCAAAAGTCTCCTTTCTGCACTTTCAGGATTGGAGCCAAGGTTCATCAGAGGTCACATGTGTAAATTTCTCACAAAGTAGAGAGAAAAAAAAAAACTCACCACTGACTTGTAACTGAAAGGGGTAGTGGAGAAAATGAACCATCTACAATTTGTTCTTACTCTCACTCTATTGAGAACCAGCCCCCTCAGCCAGGCACATGTGAGGGGTCCACTGGTTTCCAAACAGGGCAGTGTCCTCCACAAGCGGAGAGGCTAACTGATTCTACTCTGAGCAAGCATGAGGATGATCTTTCCCCTCTCCAAAAGTGTCTCATGAAGCCACCTTACACCAGGCACTTTAGGACAGGGCGCTTAGGGTCCACTCTGTTTTCTGAAGCCTAAAATAGTTCACTGCCAAGTATTGGGACTTTCCTAAGATGGCTTAGGTTACATCACTCCTGGATATCACAAGAGTTACAATGAATTTCTACTCAAAATTTCACGTGACCTACAGAAGTACTCACTTGCACAAGAAATTCTTTCCCTGAGTTTCAGATTTACAAGAGTAACCGCTTTCTTCTTAGACATGTGTACTGTGTTGGGAAAGTGACTGATACAAACTGAGTCAAAATATCATCACACAAAATGTATTTGTGTGATGAACACATATACAGAGGACAAACTAGAAGCTCTAAAGACAACTTGGGAACTCTCCAGTTATAGCTACTAGATATGATGCAGAGAGCTTTAGCTGTAAGTCAAAAATACTTCTGAAGGGGATGAGGCAACACAGTGACACCCCAGCTATCTCAGATCTGCAATCCTGGTGAAATAATAAAACAGGGCAGAGAAAGCACACAAAAGAGAGAACTAACCAAAGGGAATGGGAGGACAAGTGAAGAAAGAAAGCAGGAGGAAGAGGCAGGAGAGGGGAGAGAAGAGAAGAGGAAACACAATAGGAAGGGACCAATTTGGACCCATTTTTGTTATGTGACACCAAACCGGCCTGAGCTGCTGTCACTTTCATCCAGAAAGTACTGAAGAGCACAGCAAACAGGAGCTCCAGTCCCCGCCCTAGACACGGGCCATGCACCAGAATCCTGGGCCAGAACTCACTCTGTGCAGACTCTGGGGCCCTAAACTAAGCAGGCTCACAAGGGCTCTCTGTGAGTGAAGAGAACAGCAAAGGGACAGTTAGAAATGACCCTTCCCACAGCTGCTGTGAAGTTAAAAGAGGACTCTAAGTACACTGGGAAATAAGGAGATTAAAAAAAAGACAAGATTTCCTTGAAAGTAATGAGTGCAGACCAATACAGCCGAATATCTGTATTTCAACAATGTCTGCTTCAGAAGGATTGGTAATTTTTAACTTTGAGAGTGGTGGATGAGGTGCCCAAATGCAATGTCTTGAGGAGGACAGAGCCATGCTGATTCCTCAAGATTGCTCACAGCTGCTATGTAAAGACCCATAGATCACAGTCAGCCATGCTAGGTGCTAGAACTCAAAGAGACAAACTAAGTATCACTGAAAATATCAGACAGCAAAGGGCTCTTCTCATACTTCTGACTCGTACTTATGAGAGGATAGTGAGGAAATAAATTATAAACCTGATATTCTTTAGGCAGTAAAGGAACCTAAAGGAAAAAATAAAATATTAATGAGCTGTATAAAACTGACATCCCATTTTATACACACTGTAAAATCACTCAAATCACTCAATTTGTGGTTTATTAATTGATTTAATCAGTGTAACATCACCTTTAATTTTTCTTTCAGAAGATTATTGCTAAATTATATTCTTAAATATTAAATATTAAAATTAATTCTTAAAATCTGACATAAGTCTCACTTAAGATGCTGGTTCACTTTCGTACAACACCTCCAAACTGCATGTGAGTATTAAAGCTTCCTTATTTCCAAGGACAAGAATAGGAAAGCTGACGCAATGCATGTACAAGTCTGATGCTAACAATTCGTGGCCTCCTTCCCATGAGTGTTAAGCTTTAGAACTTTGTCATGTGAGTGCTCCAATGAGCTGAAATTTATTTTCTTTCATTTCATTTACTACTGCTCCTGGTGAGACAGATGAGAAATAGCGCCTTAAGAGTCCAGACAGATCCAAAATTGAATATTTCTACTTCTCAGACTGTTTGCAAGGAGCCCACACATTCAGCAGACAAAGTTACCCAAGACAGTGAACGACAGTCAACCAAACACAGTGAGGCTGAGGCAGGAGGATGGACAGGTGGAGCTGAAACTGGGCAGCTGAACAACACAGTGAGACCCAGTCACACTATCAGAGAAATACAAAGGACTGGAGATGTAGCTCCGTGGGAATCTCCGAGGTTTAAGCTCCAACACACACACACACACACACACACACACACACACAGAGTGTGATAACTACATTTACAGGGTGTCTTATTACAATAAAAGCAGACATTGTAGCAACCTTATTGACTAAGTTTACCCCAAACATTCAGCTTTGGGCTATCATAAAAAATAACACAAATTTATAGATTAGGGACAGCTTGGCTTTACTCTCTCCCATCTCAGATAAACTCCAGGATCATGGTGGCCATTGATTCAAATTTCCCTGAGGCATTAAAACCCTGGATTCAATGGTGACATTCTGATATTGAGAATGTCTCTTTACAAAGAGTAGCTAAGAAAAGGTTGCATTATGAACATTCAGAATAAAGAAGTATCAATTATTTCCCATTTATTTTGTATAAAACCAAGAGAAATCTTTGCCTAAAACATAAAAATGGTGTGTGCCCATGTATGTGTGTGTGTGAGTGAGTGTGTGGGAGTGTATCTGCAAGACAACAAGCTTGAACAGACATTTACCAATTTGAAAATCTAGTCACAAGGAATTTCACATCCACTATATAAGGCATATTTTTCTTCCATCTTTGCCCTTAAAAGAGATACTGGTCTCCAAGTTGAAGACATATTCTGTTGATTTTAGTGCTCCTATGTCATTTAATTTCTAGGTAAAGAAAATATTATTTGTAATTCTTGCTTCTAAGATGATGAAAGTAACCCTGGTTACAACAAAGGGCTTCTCAGAGCTGCATATGCTGTTAATGCTAGAAAATTCTAAAACTGAGTCCTAATGAAGTGAGACTTGCTTCTTCCTCTTCCAGGAGGCTAAGAAGCATGAGAATTCCCCTCCCAGAGACTGATCTGCATGCCCTGTATCCTGGGGACTGCAGTCCTATGTGGAATGGGCACAGCTCTGAGCACTGTGCCCCTCCTGCAGAATCAGATTTTCCCAGGGATCCCTGTACCCACTGCTGCTCACAGCATGGACTGTAGCTCTATTGCTATCCCCCA